AAAATTTATCCAATTATTTAGATTAAATAAAGCTGCTGCGATAAATTTAAGAGAAACTGTCGAGCCGTATGTAATTCCTCAAACAAGAATATCCGCGATAGATCCTATAACAAAGGTATTAATTCTTTACATATGTATATTCTTGTATATACGTATTATTATAATATCCCATACAGTACAGATGGTTGCAGTTACATTGCAGAAACATTGCAATCTTGCAGAGACATTGCAGGAATATAAAGTTGCAAACTTTCGATAGCAATATTGCAGCAATGTTTCAAAAATGATAAAAATACTATATTTTCTATTAAAAAAATTTTCTAATTACGAGAATTTTATAATGTTATTTTCGTTGATACAATAATTCACGAATTATTAAGTACTTGATCAGTGTGGTGTTGCTCGCAATCTCCATCTATTGCGAAGCGACATAATCTCCTTAGGTTGCTTCGCAATAGCTTGCTGTGTATTGAAAAAAGCCCGGATGTATATGTTAAATTAGTAAATTCTCTGCTTATGTACAACAACAAGAAATTATTCCAAAAATATTGCACTGCAACATTGCTATAATGTTGCACTGCAATCTCTCTGAGGGCGGACATTTCAACGTTGCTGCAACCTTCCAGTAACGTTGCAGCAATGTTGCACAACATTGCGCAACGTTGCGCAACGTTGCTGCAATCTTGCAATCTTGCAATGTAACATTTCTGCAATCTTCCTGTAATTTTTCTGTGCTGTGTGGGATTATTCTAATAACATTAGTGCATTTGTGTGCGTGACATTTATTAATATATTTTCTCTGTATCGTTCCAATTAATTGGTAAAGTTATACAATGCAAGGGCCCGACTATCGGGCCTCGCGCGGGATGATGCAAATGGATGATGCAACCCCGCAGCATCAAAAATTTTATCTTCCAGGTTAGAAGACGTGCTGTTCACTCCACGCGGAACTGCTAAAACAGACTGATCAATGTTTGTAGGAAATACAGATATTTTCCGACGTTGCCAAACCTAAATCAATGCAATGGAAAGCGTATACGTTTCTAAAAGCAAATACTAAACATTTATGTTCTAGAATACCGTGTCAGAAACGTATGCGCATTTTTACCATTCGAATTGTACGTATACGTACAATTGCGGATAAGTTCAAGAATAGAGCCCCTGTACGTTATTTGCGCGAACCTTTTCCACGAAACATTTGACGAATGCTCGTGCGAATCGTTTGAACGGTTGAGTCGAATGGACGGAAAGGCGAATAAAAGCAATCCGCGGAATGAAGTTAACGCGAAAATAATGCATAAACAATTCTACTTACCAGAGGGTAGTTGCTCCGCTGACGCCCGATGCCTCCCAAGGACGTCGCTTCCTCTCAGATTCCTCTACTTCGCACTGGCAAACGGCACAACACAGCACTACGCGGCACTCGCGAAAATGAAGCCGATTATATCCGAGTAACCTAACGCGCGGCACTGCACTCCTGGCGTTAACCGACGCGAGCTCCGTTACCCCTGGTCCACAATCTTGCTTTAAGTGAGCTGTAAACCTTAAGCCGTAAAAAATTAACCAATCACAGACATTTATTCCCCACTTAAAGCAAGGTTACAACGTGAGCGAGAGATGCGAGCCGCCACGACGGCGTCGCGCAAAATGGCGGAAACGTTCCGGCGAGAAGAAGCAGTCGGGGATACGCGAGGCTTGACGCGAGCCGTTCGACGGGGCGATCTCGCGCCAACACTTCCGTTGCCAACACTTGCCGCGCGTTACGCGTCGTGGAAAACGGCGAGCGCGAACAGCGGGGCGACTCGACGGTTCGCCTTCTCCTCGCAATCGAGCGACGCCCACACGGCCGCGCGATCGAGCCTCTCGATTCCCGCGGATGCCGCGGAACGTCGTCTTCTCGTAGCGTGCACTTGGAGACACGGGAGGCGAAAAGCCGGGTATTTCTACACGCGCGAAGAGACGCGCGTTAAAATCTCGGGTCTCGGATGTACGCACGGCGCCGCGAGGATCCGGCTGCGCCCAAGATTCCGGCGTTTCTCGCGAAGTTTTACGCGTCTCGGTGGATCGCCGACGCGTGGATGTCGAATAATCTACGCCGCGAGTGCTCAACGTCATCTGCGTTACTCACCACTGTCGCGAAAAGCGTCTCGAGCAGTCCGCTGCGTGTATGCGACACTCGCCAATGCTACTTCTCGAACGGACTAATATGGCGCCGATAACCGGCGGCCCCCGGCTACTACGCGAGTCGAGTCAGCGACGGCACTTGAATATCGCCCGCACAGTGTACCTCAAATAAACGCACTAATTCACGCACTTGTTAACGACGAGCAATCGACAAACTCGCGGCTTTCCCCCACTCAGGTTACATCGGGATGAATAACGAGCGCGAACGGTAGACGGCGACGGCCCGTGGCGTACGTCTTCTCTTCTTTTTCTACTTATGGCTCCCGGCACCTGATAAACGGTAGCCGATACGGCCACGACGAACCAATAGACGTTGTTGAATTACAGATCCTATAGAATTATAGACGACTGATTGGTGATATGTACAAAGCAGGGCCCGACTAACGGGCCTCGCGCGGGATGATGACTGTTCGCGCTCGCTATTTCTCTGATGTAACTCGAATATTCCCACCGTTCCGCTCTATGAGTTTACGCTCTCAGATCTGTAGATCCGAGAATCAAAGCTGATTTAAAATTACTTGTTCATTGCGAATAATTACGAACGACAATTGCTTCTTTAATCGATGCTCGTATTCGGACACATCTCGTGTATTTTCACTCGTATATTCTTCGTGTTTCTTGTGTGTCACGAGACTTGGTCAATCGTACCGCGAAACGTAAGTGCACATTTCGTATGAGATTGATTACGAGAAATTAAATATGAACGATTCCTTTTTGTGTTTGGTAGAAAAATTCGTTTATACTCGTATATTGCGTATGCGTACGCGCGAATTAAATCGTACATCGTAAGTTTGTCGGCAAGTTTCAAAGAAAACGAAATCTAATGAATTTCCGACTATTTCCGGTATTTTATTGACGAATAGTGAATTTGTCAATAAAATTTTTCGCTTTTCACGAGTTTACGCTAAACGAAAGACGGTACTAAAATCGCAAGTTCGTAAAGCCTCGTCTAGTAGTCGTAAAGTCGTAGTCGTAAGAATAGTCGACTACGATTGGTCAATTCTTATGTGTCTGACGAAATTGACTAATCGCAGTTGATTATTCTTACGACTACGACTCTGCGACTCGCATTTTGTAGACCACGCATTAACTCAGGATCTTATGAGCCAATTTGCGGTGGAAAATAAAATAGGCGTTTGCTGTCTCTCGAATGGAGACAATAATGCGTTAACTCCTCGGAGATAAATGCCTGGGACGTTTGCGTTTTGCGTTTGCGGGTTGCGTTCGCGTTTGCGGTTTGCGGTTTTGTGTTTTGCGGTCTGCGTTTGCGTTTTTTGCGTTTTTGCGTTTGCGTTCGCGTTTGCGGTTCTACGTCGATATATTCGAGTCCCCTCTTTCTCTGTGTGGCTCTTGTGCGGTCTGCTTACCTGGCGCGTTTTCTCAAAATGCGCTAGGCAATGAATTCTGCGAATTTTACACTGCGTGCGTGTCTCCCGATTTGACCGGGCTACCGAAAATAGATTAACACGTACCGCTGTTGTGTCGTTGTTGCCTGGTTCTGTGTCGTGCCTCGTGTTGTTGTCTTGAGGGGTTTTATCATATGTTCCAATTGTGGCAACTGCGTTGTATATAGGTTGTCACGTCATGTATTGTCATGTATCGTACACACCTTAAAAGGGGGGAACACCAGCCGAACTGCATTAGATTTACGGGTTTTTCATGATTTATGGTTGTATTATCGGCTTTGGTTGTTATTTGTCGCGTGGACCATCCACACACCGTCGCCCTTTCCTCTTAGAGGAAAGGGCGTCGGGTACGTCCCAGTCTACAATAGATGATTTAAGCCCTAAGCTTTAAGAAATTGGCCAATCACGGTCAAGTATGAGTAGAATGCGCGACTGTGATTAGTCAATTTCTTAAGGCTTAGGGCTTAAATCTCTATTGTAGACTGGGACTACTGCGTTAGCCGCCTTTGTAGTGGGTTATCAAGCCCAGCACTGTTTGGGCGGGTCGCTCCCGACGTTTTTTGCCTTCGTCAGGCGGTCCCGGGGCGGCTCGTCTATAGTGCGGGGATGGTCCAAAGAGAGGGTTTTTTAGCTAGGTATTCCCGCTTCTCGGGTGAGTCCAGCATAACCATCCAGGATCCGGCCCTGATGGTACGCGTAAAGGCGTTTTCCCCTCTCTCGGAAAAAAAAAGACCACGCATTAAGCCTCCGCTACAATGATTCTCGGTTCTGTCTACAATGGTCGTAGTCGTAAGAATAATCGACTGCGATTAGTCAATTCTTATCGAGCGACTACGACTACGACCATTGTAGACAGAACCGAGAATCCTTGTAGCGGAGGCTTAATGCGTGGTCTACAATGCGAGTCGCAGAGTCGTAGTCGTAAGAATAATCGACTGCGATTGGTCAATTCCTTCAGACACATAAGAATTGACCAATCATAGTCGACTATTCTTACGTCACCTGATCGAAAACTCTGCATCCTGATTGGTTCTCGTAAGCAATCCAGTAGGAAATACGAAATACCAACGATTCCATATAAAAACTTTATCTAATTTATTAATTGGCGCTAAGTACATGGTGAAAAAATAATTAATTAATTACAAACAAACGAATGACTCACAAACCTTTCTAATTGCACTACAAACGTCTACATACGAAATACAAACGATTGCATATAGGAATTATTTAAAAATACGTTCAGTCGGCGTCAAGTATGAGCGAATTCCTATTGCCTGTTGCCTGGCATTGTGTAATAGGCTTTAAGATCTGAGTATATGAATACCGGCCTTAGTGGTCTTTAGTGGAATTTATGAAGCCTTCCAGTGGGGGATAATGACGAACCCGAGTTGGCAACCCTGCCCACAACTGCACGAGCAAAGGGGGAGTGTATGTGTTGGATCGTGCGTGGGTCGTGTGTGGGTCGTGTGCGTGCGAGAGTATGGAGTGTGGAGTCCTCTTCGGTTTAGTAGCTCGCCATGTTTTTTACTGAGTGGGGTGTGTAGAAGAGGCCGGGGTGAAAAATCATCTCTCGAGGCATGCAGGTACGTCGATGATTCTGGATTCCTTCGTCGTCCCGATGGGGCGCGCGGGCGTCACGATGACGGACGCCCGCGCGTCGCGACGCGGATTCGCGTCCCCGTCGACGGCGGCTCGCGTTTCGTAACGTCGTCACGCACGGGCTTTCGTTCTGGGCAGAGCTATGACTCAGGCGAAACTCTATAGCGCAATCGGCAAGGTTATTCGCGTTGCACCTCCCCCCCCCCACCCGGGCCAGGGTCCCGCTGCCAGCGTCTCGTGCGCGCGGACACGCGGCCGCGTCGCGTTGCGTCTCTCTCTCTCTCTCTCTCTCTCCCCTAAAATCGCTCCCACTCGGCCCAGAACGCGCGTTTTCCGCCTTCGCGATAACACCTGAGGCGTGCGTCGAATGCTTTTGCGTACGCACGTATCTATACATAGATAACGCGTCCTTTTAACGGCGATCGCGGAAATCATCTCGGGCGTGCGTATGCATTTCTGGTTCCTGCTTTTCTTCCGCTGGGTCTCTTGCGTGCGCTCATGCAATTTGTTGTTCTGAACGTTACTTGTCCAGCTAAAGTTGGCTGTGTGCGCGCGCTCGCGCGCCCGTGTGTATGTGTGTGTCTGTGTGAGTGGGTGGGTGTGTGTATGTATATACGTGCATCTGGTCACCTTGACATCCCTTGTATTTCTTTAAATAGATACAAATAAACGTTGATACAAAATGTTACGTATAACTAGATAACGTGTATTGTCCATATGACACCTCGAAAGCTTAAAGTGACGCTGATGACGTGAAGTATACAAGTAAGGTGGATATTTGCAAATTACTTTTGTTGTTATTGCTTTCTAGCACAGTTCGTAGCAATAACAGGCGTAGTCGAGTTGTGGACAAGATTACTTTCGTGAAAATTATGACGATAGCTAGAGCAAAATTATAAAATAAAGTGCAATCTCGTTACCTGGATCAGTTGCATACTATAAGCGTTATTCGCAAGTGCGTTCTCTACGAAATAATTATTTATACTGCGTTTACTTGTTACTTTTAGTGTCAAAATGGGAAGGAGACTAAACTTGTTATCCTTCACTAAGACCTGCCAGCCTCATTTCAATGATATATCCACCACCCAAAAACTAAAGAATTTTTAAACAAGATTACTGAAACTATAAGAAACGATATTAACAAATTTCCGGAGGGTTAAGTAACTTAATGCGAAAAATTCCAAATAAGAACTGCAGACAAACCGTTCGATAAGTCTGTCGATTAGTCCGAACGACGTAGTGGTGGATTTCAATAAAATTGAAACATTTAACGACAATAATAAGATACTGTAATACTGTACTGTACATAGGTGAGTTTGAGCGTTGAGATTTTCAAAGTGACTTACGCTCCGGTTTTAGTAATTTCCTATTTCGACACCGTGATACTGTAATGAAAGCATCGTTTTCATTTTATAGGAGAGATGATTACCCTGGAGATAGCGAAGTTGGTTAGAGTTCCTGGGTCTAGGAGGAGATCTATTAAGAGGGAATGAGGAATCCAGCCTTGCATTTGGTCGGGATAGCGACGTCCCCTGGAGGAGGTGAGGTCTTCGGCTCGAGGGCCGAGGAGGAGTTGCGCCAGTGGCTCGAGACGCGCCTGGACGCATTGGGGCTTGACCCAGTTGCGTACTCGCGATTTGCCCTCAGCCTATTGCGCCGCCCCGACTCGGCCCTAAGTCCTCCAGAAGAGGAAATTGACACAGGACGTCGCATACGTGCCCGATCTAAAGCAAAGCTGCCAACGCATGGTGACGGGGAACAACGACAAGCTGTTGTGCAATGTCTGACAAGTGCTGCTGCCGACGTGAGTTCATCGCGTTAAGATATAATCTCCACTAGGAATATATATATCTATCAAATTCCTAATTCTTTCCCACAAATTTTGTCTAGGTCACATAGTGACTGTGTGTAAAAATATTTTCTGTATAGAAATTAGGGGTAGATGCTCTAGTTGATGAATTGTGCGTAAAACTGAAAGAATTAGAAGGAGGGAGCTCGTATGATGAACAAGAAGAATCCATGAAAACTTGCGATGAGCCCGAAACAAATTTAGAAGCGCTCACACCTCGTGACAGGGCTCTTAGATATTACGCAGCATTTCCCGCCTTGCAATCCATTAAGAAGTCTACTGCACAGAAAGATAGAAATTTGGCCAACAGCAACAACAAAAACTACGGAATTAATTTGCACAATAAAAATAATAGCGTTCGCAATAAAAAGACTAAAATGTCTGTCGTGAGTATACTTTTTTTATATATGTATAAGGTGGGTGAGAACTTGCTCAGGTTACCTCCATGTTATTTTGAAACTAATACACTTAAAGTTTAATTTTTTGTACGTGTTACGTGAAGCAACTCTTTCTCTAGTATAATGTTTAACCCCTCGTTGCATAGAGTTACTCTGGTGACGCACCTATCATCCAAGTTTCTTTTTTCAATAAATCAAATTTTTCACGCTTTTCTTTAATAAAATTAAATAATTAGTTATTAATAAATATGCTGAAGAAATATTATTTTTAGAAATTTAATTCGTTTACATAAAATATTGTCCTATAACCTATAGCTTCAAGGCGGACCCAATATAGCGGACAAAATGATCCAAGTCGACAGGATTCGCTTGAAATTTGCTGTTTAAGGGTTTTCGAAGTTGCTGATTGTGAATTCAATGTAAAATAATACAAAATTTTAAACGAGAACCATTAGGTTTGTTTTCTGTTCCTGCACTGGTGAACTAGTGCGGTAAGCTAGAACGAAAAAAAAATGCTTGTCGTACTCTAATTTATTGCACTAGTTCACCAGTGTAGGAACAGAATAATATCGAAATAATATAAACTCCCGAGTGACAAGTTTGAAGCGAATCCGGTTAAGCCTAATCTACAATGTGCTTTCTGCATCTAGAAACATTCTATTTTATATAAACAAATTCAAAACGCTTAACAAACTTGTCGGCAATTTACGATTGTACAATGTATAATGTACAATTTATCAACTTGCCCAAATTTTTTAAACGTATTTGCTACGAAATAAAATGTTTCTAGACGCAAAAGACACGTAGATTAGCCTTTAGGGCCGTGGCACACAACGCAGCAAACGAATTGATCAATCATGGTTGAGAATTATGGCAGTGGCTGCCATTGATCAATTCGTTTACTGCTTACGTCTTATTGCTCAAGGCCATTCATGTGCCACGGCCCTTAGTTTGGAAATTTCTCCGCCATATTGGATCTGCCATTTCGAATTTGAATAATGGTGGGTGTTGAGCATAGACGTGTTGAGGGACCTTTGTTCTTGCAAAGATTTTAAAATGGCAGCACTGTAAATGAATCTGCACATAACGCGGAAAGAGTTGCTGTGCGAAACTGGTATAAAAAGTATACTGCAAGTACATTAATATTAAAATGACAAAAGAGGTACTGAAACTCCCCAGCGAGAAATGACTTGTCGGTCGACGTCGAAACGATGTCGAATCGACGTCAATATGACGGTTTCGATGTCGATACGACATCGTGTCGACGTCGATCGACAAGTTATTTCTGACTGGGTCCTCGCTCATCCTTTATTAAAAAAAATTGTTACCGATATAATAGGTCGTATTCGTTTTCTTTCTTTTCTAGAACATCGAATCACAAGGATCAGAAGATAAGGAAAGCTTTGGATTTGCTAAGCTAATGGAGCGGGAAAGGGAAAAGGAACTCGATCAGTTAAGATTAGCGCAATTAAAGGCAAAGTTTGAGAGTTTAGAGGCACTTTGGAACACAGTACCGGGCAATACACGTGACACAGCTTCGATATGGGCAGCTCCGTCACTTTCCATTCCTTCTGAACCTCTTTGGCCCACGTACACTACCAGGACAATCTTCTTACCCACTTCAGATAATGGCTACGCTACTGACACATCAAACCAAGAATCAATTGTTGACGAATCACCGCTTATTCCATGGGATATTGATCTTATCAGCATTGAAGATAATGCGGATGAATGTAGCAATAAAAATAAAACAGGTCAGATATCAATGCGTGACACAATATGCTATAATATAAAATTTATATGAAAATAATAGTTGAGAAGTCTCATAGAGATTTTAACTATTTTTATTAACGAGAATATTTCAAATATTGCAGAATATAATGTGAATTGGTTGGATTCGTTTATGGATGAACCCTGGAACTGGAGCGGAATTGACAGTAACTCTACAAGCATGTATAGTCACAATCCTCAAACAGATGACTGCTTCTTTTCGGTAGCATCCAACACTCCGCATGGAGTTCGTAAGGAATCTCGTTCGAGTCTGAAGGTAAACAGCCTTCCAGAACCAGACGAGGATCTATTGACTTCCGCACGTACTCACTTTCGTCCGATAAAGGACGATGGTCACTGGGCAGATGGAACGACGTTTCATGTGAACAATACGGTAGAACGCGTTGCTTATCGTAGATCTGAGTCAGGAAACTTGCTGTACCTTCCTGGCGGAGAAAGCCCTTATATGGAGTACCGGGAGAATGACGCCAAGGCATTGTCCACGTCAACGAATTTAACGCTGAAGTTTCGGGTACGTCAGTGCGACAAGAGTGTCCAAACTGAGCCCGTACGATCTCCGGTCAAACGCCGCATTCTTTCCGAACAAGATCATTTTCGCTATTCTCATGTCGGAGCTGAAGATGCCGCTTTACAAGAGCAAGAAAATATCGAAAAAGATTCTTTTGCTTTGGAACAACAACTTGGCTGGGTACAATCGAGCGTACCTCTGCACAATGATAGAAAAAGGTAATCAACATCGTTAAGACACGCCATGAATTGCAAGCATATCAATTGCATAGGACGTGTAACGTTGTGTCGTTAATTACGAACACTAATAAGAGAAAAGCGACTTTGGACTAACCAGGTTTTTTCTTACTATTAAATGGGTGAGAAATCAGAATTGGCAGGTTAAAAGACGAAATTTGTAGTATTATCCAGAATTGGATAATAAAAGAGAAAGGTTGATATTTATGGCTTATATCTGCCAAAGATAAATATTGATGTATGTGAGATTTGTTCTACGTGGTGAAAACACTTGAATAAAAACAAGTTCAAATATTCTATATATATGTATATATATGTAACTAGGGATGTGCCGGATATCCGGTATCCGACCTATCCGGCTCTTTTATTATTATCCGGCCGGATAGCCGGATTTCACTAGTACCCAAAATATCCGACTAATTGTAAGTTTTTATATTAAAAATTTGATAGTTTGCATCTTTGATATAGGAGATTCGAATCCTCTAGGAACAAATAAATTGATCATTTTTTATTAAATTAGTTCTCTAATGTATGTACGATCTTTTTTGCAAAGGTTTATTTTCAACAATACTTCATCAATGATGCAAATTCTGTTAACTAAATTTATAATTTTTAGAACGCTATTCGACACAACTGTCTATAATTTTTAATTAAAAGAACTTGTTGCGAAAAATATTGTCTCAGCCAGGATCGTCTTGGCTGCAGTAATATTTTTCCCAATCATATGGAACATTCTACTTTAACTTAATCATATGGAACATTCTACTTTAAATTAATAATTATTCCTTTTTTCAATACTAATCGTGACTATTTATTAATTTAAATTTTTACTTAATTTTATGGAGATTTCATTTCATTAATAAGTAAAAAGTAAAATTGTTTTAATAAGGGCTCTGATCAAGGGCGTAATTTCATGTATAAGTTTGTCTGAATTGAATACTATGTTCAAGAGATGGGGCTCCGCAGCAGCAACATTCGACACTTCAAACCTCCAACAATAATTACAACTTATGTACGAAAAGTCAAGATGACGTCAGTTTGATGTCATATTGACAAAAATATGACGTAAGTTTTGTCAATATGACATCAAATTGACATTATCTTGATTTTCATTTCTCCTTGGGATATGTACTATAATATTGTTTTTTAAATTAATGACTAATATCCGGCCGGATATCCGGTTTCACGTTATTACCGGATATCCGGTATCCGGCAATTTCACTATCCGGCACATCCCTATATGTAACAATTCCATTTTTATTGAAAAGTAATGAGTTTGACTCTCCAGAAGAAAATTGGAGATCAATTTTTCGTTAGGATGGGATTCGGTGCTAAAAAGGCTAAAAACGAGTGATATGTTACAGGAGTGATCTTGCTGCAATAATACCTATAATATCTAACAATACCTCCCGAGCTTACTTGCAATTCTGAAATATACTGATAGCGTATCCGGATAAAAAGTTTTACGGGTACAATTTAATTTTGTCACATTACTATTGTACCAGATTATATACATGATGTCTTTTTTCCGATAGAAGGCACAGTAGCAGCTTCGGATGCCAGCCACTGACGACTTTACGTCCGTTGACCTTGTGAACCGGATAATGTAAGCTGCTTTAAGTAATACTATATGACTGGAGATTTGAGGTTTAGCTATACTTTTTTTTCGCAAGATAAAAAAGCGATTGATAGGATTGTGAATGGGGGTCCTCTTGGCATGTGGAATTTGTTATGCATGTATCCAAGAAGGCACGAGTAAACCCCATCGTCACTCGTAATAAGCAACATGCAATCGAAACAAAGCGAGAGAGTATTAACTATTCATTTAGATAATTAATATTAACCTTTTGATGAGAGAGAGAAAAAGAGAGAACAAATAAAATAAGAAAAAAAAGGAGCGTATATGTTACACACAGCGTTTCACATTGCGAGACCGTTGAAGATGTAGCCCGCGCATTTTCAGTTGTAGGTTGTTGATTACTTTGTGATTTTTTTTTGGAGGAGAGCGCTTAGTACGCTGATTTTTGTAGAAAATTGTAACAAGCAATTTTGTTTCTCACCCGACGTGCAGGCTGAAAGTACAGATAGGTAGACTTATCTGATATTGATAATTGAAAAGAAAAAGGACGAAAGTTATTAATTAGAAAAAAATTTGAAAGGACCAGTTGAGTACTTACGTTGAACGCCGCACGATTGCAAATCGGGTATTTAATTAAAGAGCTGTTCTATTTTCTTGTTGTTTTCGTAATTATTAATGGATTATCGTAATCGTATTCCCCTATAATTATGATTTAACTCCCTAGAAGATTAATCCCCTCTCCAATCCTGTCCTTCTCCCACCTTCCAAATTTCCTTGTATCCATTGCTTTCCCTGTGCTCACCCTAAGGAAATCGAATAACTGAGAACATACGTGTAAAAGAACGCGTGTCATTTGAAAACACGTGCTTACCTGCGATAGGTATGCGAAAAAAAATACAAAAAATGTTACTCTAGCATGCAGATGCCTTTGAAACGGATGTTGAGTGATGTTAATGCGTCGAAGGAATGTGTCACTTATAAACCACTCTGTCTTTAGGAAATAATGTGAAAGGAAACATATGCATTGTAAAAAGAAAAAAAGGCGCTCTTTGTCTTTCCGCGAAATAATGTACGGAAAGGGTAAATAAAGGCATTGCAAAGAAAAAGAATTATACGTCGGTTTTAAATCCTCCACACTTCTACGCATTTATTTATCTCTGTCTCTCTCCCTGTGTACAAGAATTCCGCAATTACACCTTCCTTTAAAGTTATCTAAAACCACAAACGTTTATCGCAGAATATATGTATGCTAAAAACATGCAAATGAATCCTATGAAAATGGTACTGTATTTTATGACAATCGCTTTACCGTGCGTCACACCGATATAAAAATTCATGAATCTTCATGAATTTTATCTAATATCTCATTAATATACAAAATTGACACTCGTCGTCTAAAAACGCTTTTATCCCTTTGTGCGACAGCTTCATACTCATTCACTATATCCATAAATGAATCCTCCCGGAATGTTTCGACTTAAAATCTCGATCGAAATTGCGAGATTGTTTGAAACCCATGTGTAGGGGCAGGATGCAAGTCAAACCGTATCGACTTGATTGCCTTCGCCAGTTTCGTTTTCGGAGGCGTAGTCTGATGTAGCTCGCTGACTCTCGCACGGTGCCGATAATACCAATACTCGAAGGCTAACGTGAAGCAAGCGAAGATGATGCCCACAAAAATTACGAGGAATACACCGCCGATATTGTGAATACTGATACCATCGCTCTGATCGTTTTCTAGATCGCAATTCTTTCGCACGGGATTATGCTTCCACCACTTGTCCTTCAATTTCTCCAATCTTCTCTTGTTCAACAGTATGAGAATCCTGTGACCCAAAAAAAAAGGAAGATTTAAGGAGAGAGAAATTTGGTTTTTACGAGAAAAGATGAATGTCTTCCTACGTACGCGTTGTTAAATTGATCCTTCAGCGCTGACCCTTGTTGGACGGCGATAGCGTACGGTTTCCTCGAAAATTCCTCTCCGACTTGAGTCAGATCGCAATTTATCATAACATGGTACTTGACAGTTGAAGCGTCTCCGATGAAAGCGAATTCATTATTCGCGTACTGATCCTTCCGTCGAATTCGCTTTAACGCTTCGTCCATGTCGGCGGGAAAGCCAGCTTCTTTCATGGCTTGAAACATTTTTGTATACTTGTCGCTAACAGGATAATCCCAGACGGCTAGCTTCGCCCTTTCTATGTCCGACAGGCTGTCGTTCAGACTCATATCTTTCCAAATTCTATGGTAGTTTGAAATGTGTTTAAAAGGCTCGAAAAATAGTAATTTGAAAGTATGTTAAAAAGAATACGCGTAAAGATCTTACTCGTAAAAGCGCGTCTCGATGTCCGCCATTCTCTGGAAGTAGACGTACGCCGGTGAGTTGGCGATAGGCGCGTATTGTATTTTGTACTGCTTGCTCAGATCCTCCAAGGTCTCAATAGGTATCTCCAGCCTGGACACCGTGAGGAAAGCAGCCAAATTAGCTGTGTAAGACGCGATGATGATGAACCCGAAGAGCCACCACGTAGCCGCCACCAATCTCCCGGACAAGTTTTTCGGCGCCTCGCCTCCGCCCTGGGGGGTCAAGGAGGTCATGCAGAACCAGAAGCACTCCCTGAGATTGAACTCCCTCTTCTCATCGTCGTCCTTGTACTTGTCGCGATTGTTCTGGTAGCTGTACGGCGACCAACGGTCAAACAGCCACATGAGGAAGCTGGTGAAGAAGTACGCCGCCAAGATGCAGAGCCAGACCTCGTTCTCCAGCACCGTGAGAAACTTAAAGAGCGACGTCGACGTCTTCGTCTTCTGCATCATGATCGTCAGGCCGACCAGGTCGTAATAGGGTACCGTGAAGTCCACGACTTTCTCTCGCTCCGCCATGACCCAGAGCGAGCTCAGGGCGATGTCGGCGCGTTTGTCTATCAGCTCCCTCATCATTCCGTTCCAGCTGCCGTTCTCGTTCAACGAGCCGTACTCGTGGTCCTCCACCTCGCGTATTTCGTACTCGAACGGCACAGTCTCGCGAATCGCGTCCAGCAGATCGATGCAGAAACCGTACCACTGACCGGTTTTATTATTGTACATCATGAAGGGCGGTTGCTGCACGGCGACCACCCTGTAACTCGTCATCGCGGTGTTGTTCATGATCTTCTCGTTGGTGACCTACGCAGAATGCAAATTCTCTTGGTAGGCGAAGAATCGGATGGAAAATCTCGAATCAAGTGAGGCGAATACGCGACAGAAATGACGACTGTCGTATCGGAACTACCTCCGAGACTCCGGAGAGTGTGCGGAAGGTGGTGCGAGGCATGAAACTAAATACGCAAAAAGGGCGGGCTTTCGTGACGCTTTCGTGGCGCGTTACAATGCGCGAGTAAATAAAAGTATACATGTGACCATACGGTCTTGCCTTGAACTTTTTCCGGGACAGATAAGCGAGCGTCATTAGGGAACGGCAGCGCGGTAGATACGGCGACGAGATATGTCAATGTAAAAAGAGCTTGCGCGTTGAAGAAATTTCTCCTTTTTCGACACAATCTCTTTTAATGAATATCTCGTATTATCATATTTATATATACGTTTGTTAATGCTCCTTGCGGGAAGTCGGTTTAATGCAAAATCGGCTTAAATGTGAGCTCGAGTTTCAGCGCCCTTTACTCACCAGTGTTCGTTATCACGCGAGCGCAATCCAGCTTAAGCATGCCCCTCGCGCGAGCAAAATATTCAAGAAGAGCTCGAATAAACTCGACCAGCGGCGATTTTGACGCAATCCTAATGCGCCACGCGACAGTCGATTTCTTGCTTTTACAAATTATTTCCGAATCTACCCTTGGAATAAGGGTGGTACGATATGAACGAGAAAAAAATATACGAGCCACATCGATCGCATAAACGTCGCTCGGTCAGGCACGACGGTCAAGCGTGATCAATAATCCTCGGATATATGGCACTCGAGGATTGGAAGGAAAATCGAAGAGGCCGTAGCACTGAAATGATCGTAATTCGAAAGAAAAATTGCTCGCGATACACGCGTCGTGCGGATCCTCTCATCTTCGTGGCAATCGATTGCACCCATTGGATTACGAATGATTTATAGGCAGTCGATATTAACGCGTCGTCCTTCGGCGCTTTTCACGTGACACATGACGACTCGTTTCAAACACTCGGACCTACCTGCAAGGGCACCTCGATGCCCGCCTGCCATGTTCCGCTCTCCTCCTTCAACGTAGTCTTTTCCCGCTCGATGTTCACCAGATACACGGACATCTTAAAGTCCGCGTGGTGCTCCCCGTTTTTTTTGCCCCAGCTAATACCGGCGTACGTCGGCGTCATATTTTTCGAGGCTGCCATCAGTTTAGCCAGGAAATCCAGGCCTCTCGTCGGCGTGTTCGTCTCGTCGTACCTGTCGCAGTCGATGTGACGGGGTTCCAAGGGCCAGTCGCCGCTGTCCAAGGCCGACTTCATCGCCCTGACGCCCAACAGGGTCAGATCGTAATAAAAGGCGGATGTGATAAGTGGCTTCTGGAGCGTCGCCTTTATAACAGATTCCGCTTGACTCTTCTCGTCGCTCGTCGTCGGCGGTTCCGGCTTTAGGAATAAAACGCTGATGCCCTCGCACGCGCAGTTCGGCCACGATTCTTCATCCAGGGTCAGAATGAACCAGCCGTACTTGCGCCCGGTGAAGCTCAACGATTGCCCTGCGTCTAACAGCAGGCTGACGGAATCTCCATCGCCGAGTAGGAAATAGTTTACCACGTCCAAGTCCCGCAACTTTGCCAACTGGTCCTTCACGTTGTCGATCGTATTCTGTATTCCGTTGATGACGTGTCTGGTTGGCACGTTCAGCAGCAGACTCTTGTACTTGTGGTTCAGGACGAAGTTCTTGTCGTAGAGGATGCCGGCGTTGGTGATGTTCATTTGGATCGCCAATTGACGGATCGCCTCGGGCACGAGGTCACTCGGTGTCATTACCTGGAACGAAATATTCAACCACGGAAAACTGCAGAGATTTCTGAAGAATCGAACAGCCGTTTAAGCACAAAGACCGAAAAGTGCGTAAAATCGAGATACGACCCTGCGAAAGCTCGGCAGATGAGTGCGTTTTTAACGTAATTCTGACCTATGCGGAGCAAAATATATGAAGCTGCACAATCAGAGCACAGGTCGGATATATTTCAAGTTGCATCACGCATATATGTGTATCGCGCGCATTCGCTACTCTGGGAAAAAAGGCAGCAACCCATTTTGAGGCCCACAATTAGTAATCGAATTATTTGGATTGTTCGTAACTCCAATCTTGTACGAATTTTACCCCGCGCAACGAAAAATCACAATTAGCTACCCAGAAAACATTTTGCGCGCAAACATCTGGCATTACGACGACGCACTTGGATAGAATTTTGCTTGCGTTGTTGAGCCATTTTTGTACGCGAGTCGATAGATATTTGCGCGCAAAATTATACGTTAATACACGAGCTAGCCGCTTGCGTGCAAAAGCACAGACTGAACATATCTTACGGACAAAACTCGGGCAAATCGCATACAAATTTGCATGCGTAAGACAAGCAAAATTTGCGCGCAAGAATTGTTATCTGGGTATTAGCAAGATTTTAAAGTAACGCCAATCAATTCTCTCAATTAGTTCTGTCGATATGCGGTAACGCAAAGATAATTTTCACTTAGGAGGCACTAACCGAAATGTTACCCCTGGTCCACAATCTTGCTTTAAGTAAGCTGTAAGTCTTAAGCCGTAAGAAATTAATCACAGACATTTATTTCCCTCACTCTCACCTGTGATTGGTTAATTTCTTACGGCTTAAGGCTTTACAGCTTACTTAAAGCAAGGTTGTAAGCCAACACTTAAGTTGCTTAACTACGAAAAAAATGGTCAAAATTTTTCCCAGAGTAGAGTTACGAACAATTCCAATAATTCGATTGTTAATTGTGGGGGCCCCAAAATGGGTGTCTTTTCTTTTCCCAGAGTAGCTGGACTTTCCACGCACGATTGGACGTGGTACCTGGATCAAATAGTTGTTTTGATCGAGGTTTAGGTCCCTCCAGTAGCGAATATCGCCCTCCTGGCCGAACTGGGCGGACAAGGTCGGGACCCCCATGGCCGCCGTGAACGAGCTCGAAGCTTCGGCGCCCCGGTTGGCCATCGTCAGGTCCAGGATCAGATCCGGGACGGTCGCGCCGCCTTTGCTGATAGCCGAGCTCCAGGTGTTGCATATAATCTCGAGGCTCTCGCTGGAATCGCTCTCGTTGATCTGTACGGACCACACATTGCCCAGGTGACCCGGATACTTCTCCCCCAGAGCCTTCAAAGCGCTGGTCACGCTCGCGTTCCCCGCTTCGTTCTTCGCACCATTAATTATAACTAATTGGGGAAAAAGCATCGCGCCGACGTGGCATGCAAGAAAAAAGAGAAGGCAAAGCCGAGTCAGACGATTAATCTTAAGACGTAACACCTTAGGGCGCTCTACTGCCTTAAATAGCTCGTTAATGAGAAACTACAACCGTGCGCTGAAAGACAAAAGCTGCAGTTATCGCGCATCGGATCGCTTGAAAAGCTTAATGGACGTGGCCTAAAAAGGCCGCGGTCGTCGCCTTGGCAAATGGAATCTTTTCTTTCGTATGCGCGTAGAATGCGGATTGGTTTTCTCTTTCAACGGACAGAGATAGCAGCCGGTATACAATACGTCGTTGCGTATCGATTCGCGTAACACGGTTTTCGCGCGCCACGCAAGATTTAGTCAATTAAACTTCCGTAAATGAAACTTACAAAGATTCACCGGCCTCGATCGGGCCGGTCCCTGTTTGTCTTCCGCCCCGTGGGCCGTAAAAGTCGCCGTTAGGACGCACAGCGTACAAATCTCGGCGACAAGACGGCCGGGTACCATGATCGCGAGCGAGTCGGGCGTCCTCCGAAGAACCGAGAGCCTCGATCGGGAGACCCGGAGGAGATGGCAAGAGTGATCAGCTCAGTCTGAACGCGATATCACTTATCGGCGCTCTCTCGCTCGTCCTCGCGAGTAGCATCGAGAGTGCATTCAGTTTCCGACGCGAAAGTTGGCCGCTTTAAGGGAAAACTCGGCGGTATTCCCCCGCGCGATTAGCCGCAACTGCGTCTATATTGAGCTTAATACCGTTAATATGGTCTCGGGGCGAGCGTCGTGTGTGGAACTGGGACGCCGGGCTGGAGGCACGGCCTTCGCGGTCCAGTTACGACACGAGGGTGGAAGCCTCGACGGTGGCCGTCGCCGTTATGGCACCGTCGGCGAACTTCCTCCCGGGGCGATTCTTTTCGGATCCGCCATACACGCCTGCAAATTCAAAGCAGGATATTGCGCGTATAGAAAGCGGCCAGCTGTCTACTGACAGCTCGGCTCGCGGCCAGCCTCGCTCCAGGGTGTCCTCCGGTTTATTTGTGTTTGCCCATCGGTTGCCGCGGGGATGACCCTAATCAATCGTAGTCAGCACGTGTGTGACCAGCACGCCTGTCATCTCCTCCTTCAGCGAAAATTTGATGGGTGTACCGGCGGGCGTTCACGTGTACACCGCCGCTACCCTCGCGGACACGCGAGCGACACGTGACTCCCCTAAGGCAATTCCGCGCGAATCGCCGCGCGTTGTTTCCACCTCGCCCTTATCGGCCCCGGCTCGTCTCATCGTCGCCGATAAAACGGGGCGGCACATAAATTATTTCGCCCGGGAATGCTCACTTGCGGGGGCAACGATGGGACTGGCGCGTTGGAACCGGACCGGGAAATTGAGTTTGTCCGAGTCAAAGCGCCCGAGAGCGATTTGCACACGTCGAAAGAGTGACCGCCCGCGCGCGGGAGGAGGCGCGTACGCGCCGAGGATTTGCATTTACGCGCTGGCTACCGGATTTTGCGCAATCAATCACTTCCATTTCATTTATTTGGTATTTTTCTGAAATCGATTTAGCCCGCGCGAAGGGCTCCGTTCAGCCGGGTAACTGCATTCCGATAAGGGCGGAGGAATATTTACTCCTTGCAACGTGCACGTTCCCTTGTACAATATTTCTTTACGTCGCAACGACGTAGTCGGGAGGCCATGGAAAGTAAGACGCGAGGCGATTTTCGTAAATCTCGGAAGAAATATGTGACGGAAAATAAAAGCGCAAAAGAATTAGGTGCGACTGGCGCGCATTCAATTGACGATTTCACACGTCTTATACATCCGCGTGGGGATTTCAAGGCGGAAAAGGGATCGCCAAAGGGGCACGGGATAACAATTTTTATTTGTCGACGGAATCGACGGGGCTCGAGTGTTGCGCGACATCGTACTTCATTTCCGTTAATATAACTGCCATCGGAATGAATCTCACCCGTGACGGTGATTTATAATCCGTTAGAGTGCATCCCGCTCAAATATTCATTTTATGTGTACCATAAAGCGAGATTACTTCTCATCACGTGACTTTCTGACATATTCGGAATTTCTTCTCCATTTTAACGAGATTTATTTTACGCCCGCCCCCGAAATAAGTAATTAAAAAATGATTACACGTCACACGGTATTTTCCCGCTATTTGCAGAGCTGAATAATTCGGAATTCGGATGGCACAATCGAAGGTGGCTGTCACGCGACGTCGCGCGAGCTCGCATCAGCCGACACTTGCGGTTACATTTCTTCAGGGTTGGGAAAGTTACTTTATAAAAGTATCTAGTTACAGTTACAGTTTTTTCGCTGAAAATCTAACTGTAGTTACAGTTACAAGTTACCAATTCTGAAAAGTAACGCGTTACAGTTACTCAAAAAATAACAAATCGTTTGCAGTTACTTTCTTGCAATGAAACTAAAAATATCAACTCTGCATTTGAATTGTAAAGCGTCGATAAAGGCGTTTGTGCGCAAGTGCAAGGCCTAATGCGATCTGTGGAGGTTTAAAATATATATAAAGTAGCTCTTAATGTAACTATTAAATTAGTTATCGAAAAAATGTAACTGAGTTAAATTACAATTACAGATGTAAAGAAAGTAACGAAGTTAAGTTAAAGTTACCAAAAAGAAGTAGCTGTAACTGTAACCTCGTTACAAGTAATGAGTTGCTTCCCAACCCTGCATTTCTTACGTGCAAATCGACCAGCTCTAATAATAATCAAAAACTACACTCCGCGATCCAGTAATATATAATTGCGCGATACGAAGTAAACCCTGTTCCCGAAATAAGTAATTAAAAAATTATGATTACTACACGTTACGTGGTGTATTTTCTCACTATCTGCAGGTTTTAATAATTCGGATGACACGATATCGAAGGTGGCTTTTACGCGACGTCACGCGAGCTTGAATCAGCCGCGACACTCGCGTTACATTTCTTACATGCAAATCGACCAGCTGCAATAATAGTCGAAAACTACACATTCCGTGGTCCAGTAATATATAATTGCGCGATACGAAGTAAACCCTGTCCTTGACACACATGCAAGCTGCCGTGGTTAACGAGCAAACGGGATTACGAATCTCGAAACGTATAATTTAAGCACAATCAACTCGAGAGAAACCTTGTAATAATATCTAACTCCATCTGCCACGTTCAAGGCGTCAGATACGCGCAGATATCGCGTGCGACGGTGGTACCGAATGGTGTGCTATTACAGCGCGATTATTATTATTATTACTTTCGTTATGAAAATCGGAGATCCTTATCTTAGATAAGAAACGAACATTATGAGGTATCGACTTAACATTTTATGTAACTGAGGATTTGAGGCCGGAAATTAATTTTTATCTCGACGTTTTGATGTCAAATTTTTGAGAGTGCCACGGGAACATCTCGCGAAATGGGTTAAAATGTTAAATGAAAAAAAATACCATTCCCCGACGGTGCCTTCCGCGTGCAAAATTTGCTTTGACGTTGTCCACTTTTGGTAACTACTCTGTTTCCCCCTTTTTTTCCCGCGACGTTCTCGCCATTCTCGTTTTTAAGAGCAGTCGTCACTTTTTTTCATTACGTCTCTTTTGATTGCGACAGTAATAAATGTATGAATAACATAACACGAAGAAACGTCCTCGGCGTAAGCGAAATAAAAATATTGCCGCAGTATCGTCAAATATGAATCTCCAGTCAATTTCACCTCCATCCGGATATTACGCTGGATTTTCGTTCCACCGTTTCTTCTCTATAGTTCCAATGACATTTCTCAAAGATCACAGTCTGTGGGACTTGGCAGGTGCAAAGTACAGAGAATGCAGCAAAAACTGGCAATATTACAAGACGCTTTACTCACGAATTCTTTGTATGCGAATGTCATCTCTCAACAGAGCAAATTTTATACGAAATCGTGTACCATATATCTAGTCTACGTACGCGTCAAGCTTATCAATGGCAATCTCTTTTTATTATAATAGCAAACCTGACAAATTTCTAGTCCAAGTCGCAGTTCGTGCACAGTATTTAATTCGCAATTGTTCGCGGCTTCCTTATCGGGCGGGAAGGCCTGCTGTCTAAAGGTTCATTTACACATATTCGTGACGTGTCCGTTCGGTTCCGTGAATTTCCGTCAGTATCAGCGATAACAAATATTGTTTCACAGTCGTGTTCTGCCTCTTGTGAAATCGAGATCTGTTCCTTCAATTTACCACACGGAACCTTTGATACAATTATCACTTGAAAAGGACCACAAACCATGGTCGAAACGTTGTAAGCTTAAATATTGAAATTTCCCAGACGTGGCCAAGTAATCGTTGAAGTTCTTTAATTGACTACTGGCGACATTGAAGATTACCTCTCGTTAAAATATTGTTCCCACGCTTTTTAAAGGCCCGTGTCCATGATGCTAGAGCTTGGTCTCAGTTCTAGTGTCTTTATGAACGTCTTCACACACATCCGGCACAGTCCCGTATTCGGGCCGTTCGATCTTATTTGCTTCTTCATCTCAAGTTCTAACAATTATTGCCCATTGATCATCCGTAAACTTGAGCCATCTTGAAAATCACCGACTGCAAACTGTATGGGTAGATCTGATTAACCGTCACTGACATCCCTGATGGAAAAATTTTGCTGAAAATGTAATGAAATTGATGAAAAGTGAAATGAAAGTTATTGGAAACTTGTTGAAACCATTTCAAAATAAATCATAAGTTTCGTTATGAAATTCAATGAAATACTGTGAAATTAGATGAAAGTTAATTAATATTACTAAAAATTAGTGAAAAAATTTTTGAAATGTTGTATATTATGAAATTTGCAGAATTTCACTGAAAATAAATTTTTTAATGAA